TTGTGGTAAATTTTGAGTTTTTGTCATTTTTTTTTAAGTAAAAAAATGCTGATGTTGGCGTTTCTCTAACATATCCTGTTTTTGATATATTTTCGCTCTCTTTGCATTCATTTTGTAATATTCTTATTTCTCTTTTTGTATAAAAACAAAATGAAGGTTTTTTGCCATCCTCTGAAATTGAATTACATACTTTCTCTTCCATCAATAAGATGCAATTTTTTTTCTTATCTCGAAGACTTGATTTGATGCAGCAATGTCTACCCTTGAAGCCAAGTAAAAAAAATTAGACTTTCTTTTACTTGATACATTAGTCTTCACTTTCTGTTAAAATACTTTTTTCTGCTAACAGCACCTAAAGGTTCCCTGCACATTAAGTGATTTAAAGAATTAGACATTTTCAAATGACTTAAACCACCTCCCAGGTGGCCTAATGTACACGTATGCTTAGTTTTTTTTTCTTTTATTTTGATCAACTTTGCTATCAGGTTTCACTTATTTTTATCAACATGATAAGTGCAATGTCCATGCGTATTTTAAGAATTAATTTTGGTTATTCTGTTTTATGCTTTTTTTCCATACATTTTCAGCACAAAATTTGAAATTTTTTATGTAATTTTTTTCTGTGAATATAGGTAAATGTTAAATTCAAAAGAAAGGATGTTAATTATGTGTCAGTAAAGTGAGAATTGTTTTAATTCCTTAGAATATGACTTATGCGTCCCAAATCTAAAACATTTAAGCAGCAATATTAGAAGATTTTAAAAAAGAAAAGAAGAAGAAGAATTGAAGGCCGTGCCCACAGGGTCAGAATTGCGACAGACGTTAATGGATATTGTTTGGGGCAAAGGGATATCAGTTAACTTGACATTGAGCATTAAGGGAAAATTATGAAAAACATGATCCAGATTTTTTCTCCTATATGGTGTATATATCCAGCAACAACACTTTGCCTTCTTTATCTTGGAACTTTCATAATTAGCTTAATTTACATAGATAAAGTGTGAGCTCTGTTTAAGCAATTCTATGAAAGAGAACTTGATTGTGTGAATGCATTTATTTAGGGAAAGTCTGATACACCTTAAATTATCACAGTCTTATATTTCTGAGAGGTGAAAATCAAAAGTCTCAAGAAACAAATCATGCACTCTGACAGTTACATGTCTGTTGTAAGAGGAAACAAAAAACAGGGAAAAGAAACTGTTTCTAATTTTAACACTTCAGTATCTCCATTTTGCCTGTAATTTTAAGAAGGAAATATAATATCTATGCTGTTGAAAAAAGTAATATCCTTTTGGATGTGTTCTTTTATGAAATAAAAATGTATGTCCCTTCACTCTGAAATACATTACTGTTAGCACTGCTGTAAAGGTGTAATTTGGAGGCATCGATTTAACTGGTGGCACGCCAAGTTTTGAAAAGAAAATGTGTTTGCTATGTCTCATGTTCCGAAGTATAAATTTGGACTAGATTTTGTTTGGTTTCTGGGGCCCCAATTACTCGTGCGATAGTGACAGTAAATTGGTTGCAAACAGTGTCAGGCTTGCTTTCACTTTATTGTACATATTTAAAACACCTGATATTCAAACGTTTTCCTTTTCAGTGCTATTATAGGATAAAAGAAGTCCTTTGACAATATTAATGCTTGGCAAATCTTTTTCCAGTCTGCATTCTGCAGTTTTGTATGCTGAAAAAAATGAATTGTAGCATTTTATCTCTTTTGTTGATTTGAGCTGGGATTCAAATTAAATGGCTTACTTGTGAATTAGCAATGGCCTATCTCAGTTAGTCAAGTAGAAAGGGAGGGGAAAAAGAGAGACAGAAGTGGTAGAGCAGTTTCAGTAAATAATTTGTCAAATGAGGGAATGGAGTCAACAGCCATGTGTGTAGGCATACTTCTGTATAAGTGTGTGTGCAGTTCACTCAGAATGAAAAAAAAAACCTTTTATATGACAATGTAAAATATGTTTAAAAAAATGCGTTGAGAGCCTTTTATTGCATTTATGATACTCTAAACCAACTTCCTACGCCTAGATTTGTGAACGTTAGTTTAAAAAAATTACACTCTCAAGTGACAGTAGTATTTTATGGCATCTTTTCAGCCTGAGCGGGGACTTTGTATTTTTGTCTGGAAATCTCAACAGGTTAGTTTCCGGCTCACATGAAAACTACCTGAATATCACGGAAAAAAAAAAAAATTTCTGCATCAGATCTCTACCTGATAGGTGATAATTTTGCAATTACTGCTATTCAACAAATTTTTGAAAAATCGATTCCTAGTTTTACCTGTTCTTCCCTTGTTTTCAATACACTGCACCTTAATTCTACCTTTTTATTTCAAAGCAAAGAATGGCGAGTATCCTCTTACAGTACCTGACTCCTGCTCAGACTATTTCTTTACTAATGGCACTGAATGAAAGAAGTAAAAAATACATGGATTATCTAATAAGAATAAAGCTTACAGGCATGTGGGTTTCAATAAGTCTGTGTAAACAGATTGGTTTTTTGCACTTCATCGCACTCCACGCGTCCTCTGTGCAGTTCTGCCCGCCGAGCTACTGTCATTGAAGAAGAATACATATTTACAAGTCCTTGATAAACTGTCAACTGTTGGTTATAACTATATTTTCCTGCTTTCAGCAAGATTTAATTGCCTTTAGGTTTTAGAATGTATCGTCCTGTGAAGAGATTAACCCTGCCTTAGGTCAGTACTATGCAAAGGTATGCAACGTGTGGGTTTCAATGAAAGTTTGGCTGGCCATCTGTTTAACAGGGGATGCTTCTTAGTGCACACCAAGAAAACCCCGGTTGGCAGAGGTGCAGGTCTTTTTTATTGAAACCCTTTCACCATGCTCAGATCCCCACACCACGTGCTTGCCGGGCTTTTCAGTTCAGTTCTATTAACGCTGAATAGTGTTTGCTGACATTTTTGTGAAAGGAATGAAAAAGGTGTAAGTGGAGTCTGCTGGCGTGTGCCACCATTATCCGCTGTCAGGCCGGGTTACATTTCATTGGTTGTGAGGGGGACTCCTGTAAACCGCAATATGACTAACAGATTATCGCACAGCAGAGGCGGCACTGGGGTCTAGGCGAACAATGCCTAGATGCCAGGATTGGTATAATCAAGTTATTTGGTGTTGCCTTGGTAGATTTTTTTAACTGGCAGTTCAAGTTGCATTGTGTGCACTTGACTGTGACAGTTATTTGAAAAAGTATTTTGTTCTTTTCTGTAGTCATAAGCTCTTAGGGTTATTTACCCTGTGTGACTGACACTAATGTTTCAAATGTCCTCCCTCTTCAGCTGTGTCACATACCTAGAATTTCATGTTTTGGCTGAGCATTCCTTTTAGAATTTCAGCTGCTGTTTGAAAAGTAATGCCAATGAATTCACTGAATGTGCTATGCAAACAATTTATCTTTTAGTAATAAGTATTATTGACCATTGGTCTTTTATCAAGAGGAATCACAAGGGTTAAGACACTTAAAAAAGAATTTTATGTAGGACTGACTTTTAAGGTCCTTACTGCCATTGACTGTTATAATTTTTACAGTCCCCCTTTTCTATTCGGTATGACTCGGGAGGTCTCTCAGTGCAATTTCTAACTTCATGTGAAAGGGTCATTTTTAAAAGTGGAAATTGAGCATGAAATTGAAAGTAAAAGAATAACGCGCACCCAAAGAGTGGAATTGAATATGATGGACTGATATGCGTAGTTAGAATAATTCAATGTAGAGTGGAGTAGATCACGACAATATCAATTGGTGAAAAGGAAAATTGAAATGATGCCTCGCAGACTTGCTGGTTCCTGTTCTAATTACCAAGAAGATGCAAAAATCAATAAATGCTGATTTTTTTCCGCCATGGCTGACAAGTTCGATGTTTCTTAAGAATGCCATTTTTTTCTGGACAAAAGAATGTTTTTATGTTTCTTCTTTTTACTCTATAAAATATAAAATGGATAAGAATTGAAAAGAAGCATAACAGTTTCATGTGAAGAATACAAAAATCATAATTTTTTTTTTTTTAATGAACCATTATTTATTTATTTATTTGAACAGTTGGCACCTGATTTGAATTTTGTTAACAGCCTGTTTTTTATTATCATATGGTTAACATGATACACAGATTGAATTATTTATTTTGCAACATTTTTTCCAAAATTTAGCAATCAGAATCATACTTTTAACCATCAATTTTACTCGCCTCTACTGCAGAGCATATTAAATAGCGTGATCACTTTGTTATTTTTTATATCAAAACCTTCTTAGACAAAATATTTGCTGTGCTACACAAGACATCTCTACATTTGTAACCTTTTTGTTCCTATTCTGTACTTTGGTCATGAGAAATATGTTGCTTTGCAACATGCAGAAGTATTATTTAAAACAGTGCGCAAGGGTTCATTACAAAAAGTCCTTTCTCCAAAAGTGAAAGGGGAGTTTACTTTATATAAACTTGAAATTAATATACAAGCCAACCGTAGATAGTAAAAAATTGGAAAGTGTAAGCAAAGCATAAATGAGATTAAGGAAAAAAATGAAATCTGTTGTCACAAACTTTCTGTGTTTGATATGTGCCATATATTTTCCATGCATTTCTAAAGGATTTATATTTTTATGTAAATTAGATATTGTTATGAAATGTTGACATTTATGTCAAATTTGTTTAAAGTAAAATCATATCCAATATTTTTCAGTATATATAACTAAAAAAATACTGGTAATGTTTAGAAAATTGTCACAACAGATCCCCATACAGTATGTTCTGTCTTGTTATCATTTCATGAATGTACTATTTCACTCCCTTTCTGAATTTATACAATTATGAATATTTTGGATAAAAACCAAGTTGTATGCTGAATATGTTCTATAAGGCTATTGAAATATAAATCACGTTTTTAATAGGCTTCTTCACTTAATTGGGACGTTTCGGATGTTTTGATTTTTATTGCTAAGGAAGGAGTAGGTATTTTCATTTTTCCCAATTTTCCCTACAATTTCAGAAAATCCGTGCGGAAAAAAAGAAGTCGGGCAAGCTGTCCAGCTATACAGTATGTATGGACGTCCTTCTTGCATGCAACAATTTCTACTTGTGATCTGTCATTCTGATGATAGGAGCTTAGATGTGAAAATAATGTTCTTGAAAGATGTTATTTCTATGTGTGCTCCATTTCAGCTACCAAATGTGGAAGTATTAGCAAAGTTTTAGTCTCTCTTTCTCTTCCTTTCACTCTCTCTTTCTCTCAGTGTGTATGGTTCTGCAACTTCTCTTTTGTGATTGTTTCACCATTTAAATTTTAACGATAGAAAATACTGCAGTGTTAGATTAAGATATAAAGTATTTTAGTGACGGGTGAATTTTTTTTTTACAGAAAAACAAACTGATAATTTTTAGAGATGATATTATTATAGGTTGAGTTAGACAAGTTTGCTTATATTTAAGAACAACATGCCCCATCTCTTACTTCATAGAAATATATTTTACCCTCCTTAATTAAGACAGTAAAACTTTAGGCAGTTCAGTGGTATCGCTTAAAAAGATGTATTTCACAAAATGCATTGATAGCTACAGAGAGCATTTTGAAGCATATAGAAAATGACAATCTGGGGAAAATTCATCTGTGTAGTCTGTTGATTAAACTTTTCACTTTCTACATTGAATTAAAGCCTGAACTGAGATGGGGAGACACCAAATTGTCACACGCGTGGGACAGCACTGAGAGCGCATTTAGAATAAGTTGATATAAGGACAAACAGATCCCCTTACACCCCATTTCCATGGATTAGATCGACCTACTTTAGATCGACCTATCTCCCTGGGGGTTCACGCTAAATAGCTGTCAGCCGGGTGGACACGAAAGTTAATTACCCCCTTACAGCTTGTAGTAGGCGAGACGGACATTTAAGTCGGATTATCTGAAAGTAATCTAGTGAGACTCCCCGCGGGGATAGATCGATCTAAAATCTATGGGAATAGAGCCTTACAGTATTCCTGCTAGACCCCTGCCTATTGCTGCAGGGGCCTGGCAATTAAGACTTTGAGCTGAGATTTAATCCTTTTCATATGGTGTGTGTGAGGGCAGGGAGACCATCAGGGGATTAGGGCAGCTTGCTTTTTAGTGAGATCGGCCATATTTAGTCTGCAGATCAGTTAGTCCTCGGATCATCTGCTCTGAATTCACTCTGAGACATTTGGGAATAGTGCTCAGTCTCGTAGGAACTCACACTGAAGAATATCACGGAGTGACCGAAAGCTTTGTGAGGTATAGCTCTAATTGAGTGTAGAAAGTAAAAAGTTCAATCTTATGAGGAGATAAAAAATGAGTTGATAAGTCAAGAAAACCCAGCGTATTGCCGCTATAAACTAATATATATATATATATATATATATATATATATATATATATATATATAAGCAGTAGTTTTCAGCACCTAATGGCATAGAATTGTTTACTAAAGTCTGATGTCCGACTATGCCATGAAAATATTAGCAGGAATGTAACTTCTGCATCAGAATTATTCTTAGTTATTCAAATAGCGTAACAAAAGAGGTACTTAACGTTAACAAGGAAAATGCAATGGCTTTATACCCAGGAACATAAACTTTTTGAATTCTAGGTACTTGTTTACCTCTTGGAATTGTTGTGTCTGAGTTTTTCTATTCTAGCTAAAAGTAACTTAACCCTCATCAATTGTGCCCTTTGCCCAGAAAATTATCGATTCTCTCTTCTTTTGTGTGCATTCTGAGAGCCACGTCATTTGTATTTATCTAGTGGAATTTGTTTTTAAAAGTAGGATAATACGTGAGCAGACATGATTATAGTTATACGTCTGAGTTAGCAGTAGCGGTATTAGCATCATTTGAAGATCAGCAACGTAGTGCATAGTAGTCGAGGTAATCTATCCTGGGAATTTCCTAGAGAATTGGTGTGAAAAGCTCATGTTGTAGACTGCACGCAGCTCCCCCTGGCGGCACGTGCGCCAGCATGATTTCCTGGTGGTGTGAAAAGATGGATACAGGGCATAGCTGTAGAAGTTTGACAAAATTACATATATTTATGCTCAAACTTCTTCTTCTTTTTTTTTTTTTTTTTTTTTTTTTTTTTTTTTTTTTTTGCAACATCCAATGATTTGGATACATAGTGCATTTAAAGAGAAATATTCTTGCAGTTTCTCTGTTTTGTATTTGAGCTTAGGTTAGGAAGAGGGAGGTAGAAATAAAGGTATGGCCTGTGCTCAGTAAGCAAGGAAAGGCGTAGGGCTGTACATATTATGTGAGTCTACATTTCTTGTAATTTTTCACTTGTACTCACAACTCTTTTTCTCAAAACTTTTTTGTAGCTGGAAAAGGTCCATTCTGAAATTAAAAGGTTCTATGCTATTTCTCAACTTAGGGAGTGAAGAGGTCCACTCTTTCAAAAAAGAAAAAGGGGGAAAAAAATCACCCCCTCTTTGAAATTGCTTGCCACAGGCCTGAAATTCCTACAACTTAACTTCACTGAGTACATCAAAATTTTTCTAGAAGTTCTTGCACCTGTTCCCTGTGTAGGTCAAGGTGAAATGGAGGGGTGTAACTGTTCCAACAATTATGCTGCATTTCCACACCTGATCAATACCTGTGTGTACAAGTCTTTTAGTGCAGTGCGGAGAACTAAGTGAACGTCAATTATTCCGATGATGTCACCCTCCCCGACCAGATGATAGCAAGCCATTTGCAGCATTTACTTTAATGATTGGTCGATACAGTCAAGACAAACACAGAGGAAATAGATTAAAATATGCCCTCGAACTATGTGCATTGCTGCTGATTCCCATACTAGACTTATTAACATGTTGACACCGTGACTCCTACACAGCTTGGAAACTTGTCAAACATTTGTTAGGTCCAGTCACTGTCTCAGGTACACACAAATAGTATGTTTGAACATCCAGAGATCCCTTGAAATCTAGATAACTCTTTGGACAGTTGTATATTTAGTTGCAGTACTAGTGCTGTTTTTATTGGAGGGTGAGAGGTGCAAACATACAAGCAAAAGTGTATTCTTGTATTCTGCTACTCTATAGATTTCACCGGGAGGATTTTGTTTCCAATATTTCACACTTATTTAGTAGGGCCCTTAGGCCCACAAACAGAATAGCCACTAAGTAAACATGTTTCTTCCCTATTTATGTTTTAGTATGCCATTAAAGGTTTATAATTGTTGTAAACTCTTTTATTAGAGGTTTAATATGTTTGTTGAAGATGAGAATTGTCAAGGTTTCTTTTTTAGGTATTTAAAGAAAAATGTAATTCAACAAATCAGGAGGTTCAGTTATTAGTTATAAGATTTAATTAATTATGGGATCTGATTGTTTTCTGCAAACTTAACTAAAAATACTAGTCTTTTGTTCTCCACATGAGTCTTCAATTTTTTTATTTTTTAAGTTTTTTTAGTTTTTCATCATGAAATAGTTTTTCCTTTTGCATTATAAGTGTATGTGTAATATAATACTGAAAACTAAATAAATATTTACATGCAATTTCTTATTCAATTTTTATGCAAATCTGTTTATATAATGTATTCTTAGATTTGAATACCTGATGAGAATGGATAATTAAAAAAAACAGATTGGGGTTTCAGTTTTAAGACTGGTCTTGAGTATTCATGATGCTATGCAAAAATTGTCTAGTGGTTAAACATTACAGTCCAGAATTTGCGATCGATACCGAACCTAACCCTTTCATCAATCCTCTTCATTACTTTTCCTAGGACTTGAAAAAACTGAAACTGATACATTTTACAAGTAGACTATTTGTTCTAGCATAAGTTAGGGTGACCAATGTAATTACATTGATTCGTAATGGTTATTTTAGGACTATTTGTAAAGCATGTTTCGACGTTGTAAAACCCCACCTGGTAGTATGTTGTGAGACCTTGCTAGGATATCTTGTACACATTAAGAAATGAAGAAGGAAAATGTTTACCGATCTTTTTTTTTTTTTTTTTCCTTAAAACGGATCAGCATTAGCTCTTTTTTCTGTAGGTAATCACATTTTGAATTATGTGAAGAAGGGATGTCTGCAGGTCCACTGCGTCATGGTTTATACCGCTGCTATTGATCAGCAAAGAAAATGTCATTTAAATATGAAATTGTGGCCTTGTTTGTTATTTATTTGACTGAATTTATTTTCTGCATTTATCATATTTTGCTGTCCTTTACAAGTTTTGGCTTACTGAAAATTGTATTTATTCATTTAGAATCATATTTTCCGTTTGTTTTCAGTTTAAATATAAATTTAAATGGTGAGGCATATTCTTCATCTTCTCTAATTTAGGTCATCTGAAGTATTTTTTGTCTAAGCTTAATATTTATGTGCTATATAAAGGAATCAGTTTTACTTGGGTCTTGTCTATTTGCAGGTGACAGTAGAGGCAGCCCTGGAGCATCCTTTCTTTGTTTTCGGCCAAGGTTGGTCATCCATTAGTCCTGAACGAACTTCTCAACGATACGGGTTGCCATGCCAGAAACTTAATGTTGGAGACATCTGCATCTCCTTAACACATAAAGACGTCAGTAACCGCGTGGCCGAACTCTCCCGCCAAAATCAGCCTGTGGAGAGGGCCTCCGTGTCTTTTAGCACACTGAGTGTGTCTGGGGGTCAAGGTCATGCACCTGCGCTCGAGAGACAAGGTCAAGGTTACATACGGTTTCAGGAGGCAGAAGGTGAATTACGAGCGCAGGCTGCTGTCGGCCAGACTCAGAGAAGCACAGAGACGCCATTACGTGTGTCATTACCTCATATTTCTACGGATTCCACTTCTACTCAGCGAAAGCGACGCTGGTCCGCGCCAGACCAGATTGGGATCATGGCTTCGCCCAAGCCGAGCCCACCAAAGGAAGGAAGTCCACAGCCGATGGAGGTCGGGAGGAGCAGCAGCAGTGGCGCCCCTAGTGGTGGCAGTGGTGGCCAACATGGAACTAGCGGCAGTGGCAGCAAATCTGAACACCAAAAATCATGATGTTGGGACTATTAGGAGAAAGTAGTTAGTCTAAGTAAAAGTGGTATATTTTGATACTGAGACGTAAATCTTTTTTGTATGTGACAAATTGAAAGCTATTGGTTGTTTTATTTGCTGTGTATGTATGTACACACATTGCTTGTGCAGACTTCAACAATGAAAACACTCATTCACTGTACATAAATCATCCAAATTTTAGTATTCACATTCATGCTATTAGCTAGAGGTTATTATTATTATCATAATTATTATTATTATTATTACTACTACTAGTACTACTACTACAGTTATTATTATTGTGTGTTATATAAATTCCTCAGAATATCTCAAGATCTGCTAAATGATAAAATGTAACTTTTTATGTACAACTTATTGTGTGATCGAAGCATTGAGAAATGTGTGATATGTACCTTGGTAAATATATCAATCTCTCTCCTTGTCAGAGCATCTCATTGCAGACCTGGAGGAGCTCATATATATTATATAAAAATATATATAAAATACGAGATATATCAGTTAAAGTTCTACCGTAGGATCTTCTCAAATCTGCCAATCTGCTTCTGAGATTGAAATCACAACATGGTTTTGTTGTTTGCTACGCAAGCAATTATTGTGTTAATTTTGCATGGTTGATGTTGTGAGAGTTGTCAATACTGTGTATTATTTGTTTGTATGTTTGTTATTTTATTTATTATTATTTTTTGGCATTGTCTTTTTACTATTGTTGACAGGGAGAGCAGATAATTAAGAAATTGTGTGTTGTTGTTGTTGTTGTTGCAGGTGGTAACATGCATGAGATAGGGCAGTCAATAAATTTCATGAGAGATTTTTTTAATTTAAATTATTTTAACCAACTTCTCCACATCATTTCTGACCATGCTTTCCTAGAAGATCATCTGCTACCTTGGCTCAAACTTGTTCTTTGCTATTTTATTCTACTTGAGTATGGCTAATATCTAATATGGCTCCATTTAATAGAAAAAAAACCTATAGTTCATAAGCTTGTTGGGTCCCTCCATTTTATAGGATTCGTATTCAAAGTTTGTGGATTAAAAGAAGGGTGATATTTGACCACTGGTCAGCCTAGGTATGATGGAGAATGGATGTGGACTTCACTGTGGAGGTTTAGATATGCATTTATTGAACGTCTTTATTTATTATTGCTCTATTTGAAGGTGCTAGGTCACTGCGGCAGAGAAGGGCAGGGCAGGCTGGTCAAGATTTGTAGTGGTCAAAATTAGTAGGGGTCAAGCTTTATGATGGCCTGAGAGCTACAATGACAGGAAGCTCTTGATATAATGAAATGTAGAAAAATCATACGATAAAAAATTAGATGGTTGTTTGAACAAAAGCTTAGCAATGCATTTTTCCTCTGGATTATTTGATTATCTGAATTTGTGTAACAATTTTTTGCTGCTTTTGTACAACCTTTTTAAGAAAATTCTTACCTTGTGGTCAGATTATATGGAAATGTTTTTCACCCTTCTGAAAATTCTAGTTGAACAGAAATGTTATGGAAAGTTATTGTTCACCCAGCGCCTGCCTTGCCCGCCCTCTGGTGGCGACGATCGATATTGTGATATGATCATATTTAACAAATCAAGTTATTTTCTGTTACTATTTGTTTTCTGTCCTTGGTAGTTTACGTGAACTGTGTTCATTGTATAGCTCTGTTTTATTTCGCTTCTAATTTTGATTATTTTTATTCTCTTTTTTTGGAATTGAGATGATTTTATAATGGTAGTTTAGCTGGATGATTGTGTTATTCACCTGTGAGCGGTGAAAAACTGTTGGAAAACTTGCACAAAATCAAAACTGATGTGGAAGAAAAAATGTATGGAGATTTGAACTCGGTTTCATAGGCTATAAGATTTAAGAAGGCAGAAGTTATTTTTTCTTGAAACCAAAAGTTTGTGTGAACTAAAGTGAAATATAGTAGGCACCATTCATTGCTTAGATCTATTTGTAAAAAGAAAACTTTTCATGAATGATTTTTCAGCCACTTATGATAAAAGTTAAACATAATTGTTTGTGATTAATCTAGTTGGATAAGCTCCCCGCCCTTGCTCACTGGACTAAAAAATGGCTACCGTCACCATCAGTGCAAAATACACCAACACAGCTGTTAAATATTGTTAGAATTCAAAGCACAAATATGTCAGGAAATGCACAGAACACAGTTACTGAAATGTTTTATCATTTTTTTTTTTATTCTAAAGCACAAAAGGACCTCTCGTCCCCACCTATCCTCTATTATTCACAACACCACAGCCAGCAGATTGAAATGATACAAAAACTGTGAAGCAGTATATCAGTTTAGGTAATGGAAATATATTGCTTCTTAAAATTGTAAAGGTTTTTTTTTTTCAAAATGTTTTAATACTACATAGTATTGCAAATATTTGGCAATTATTACACCATTTTATTTTCTAGTCGAAAAACTTCAGAATATGCTCAATTTAATATCTTGTAGTCAGCCTTCCTGATTTTTTTTTTTTTTTTTTTTTTTTTTTTTGTAATATTGGCAAATTTTGTACTTTTGTTATTTTGAATTCCAAATTCAAAAGCTAAGATTTTTAGGAAATTTTGAATTTAAAAACAGCATAAGAATAGAAGATGCTTTAAGTGCCACCTGTCCTACTACAGATACACAAATGTAGATAGCAGCTAAGATAATGTGGAAATTAAACATCTCCTGAAAAATGACGTGAGAAGAAGGAAGGCATTAACAAGTGTTGATAACAGGATAGTTGATATTGGATAACAGAGCCACATAAAAAGATGGATTATTTACTGAATCAGGCAGGGATAAGAAATAGAAAAGAGAATCGGAAGCATATTTAGAAATCCGTCTTTCTGTTTTGGTAAAAAGATTATTGCAGGACAGATAAAGATAATCAGACTTAAAATTGGACATCATTTTTAAAGATATATATATGTTTTGTTTGATAGGGTTAAATTCATAGAATCCAACTCGTGTCCGCATTTTGAGTAAAAATTGACTCCATAATACCTGCTCTTCTCTTGATTCTGGTACACAAAGCTAATTCCCCAGCCACATTTTTTCCTGCAGGGTTTTACGTGGAACTTTTAATATCCTGTGGTTTTGCTTTAGATGTGACTTTGTAAACTAAGAACTTGTTGGTTTCTTGTAACTGAAAGGTATATGAATAACCCGCCTAATTCTGTTAAATTATTTAATAGAATTAAGTGTTTAAATGAATAGCATGTAAATGAAAACTGTTAGATAAGAAAATGTTTCATTTATTCAATCAACAGATTATAGATTTATGGGGAAAAATCAAATTTAAAACCAGTGAACTAGTTTTAAATATAAGAAGTGCATAGTTTCAATTCTCTTACCACTTATGTATGAATCACAGGAAATCTTTATTTTATGTCAAAAGGAATATGGAAATTAAACATCCCATGAAAAATGATGGTAGAAGATTGAAGGCATTAACAAGTGTTGATAACAGTATAGTTGATATTGGATAACAGAGCCACATAAAAAGATGGATCATTTACTGAATCAGGCAGGGATAAGAAATAGATAAGAAAATGTGAAGCATTAATTTTTAGAAATCATCTTTCTGTCTGCCTTGATTAACAGATTATTGCAGGACAGATAAAGGTAATCAGATTTGTAGTTCAACAACATGTTAAAACAATTATTTTCCTTCAAAGTGGGGTTAATTTTACATAACCCAAGTCTGTGTCCTGGATTAGATGTAATGCAAGACTTGTGCAATACCTACAGGTATGGCCAGAAAAAATAAAGCATGCAGAAAGTCATGCAATGATAGGATCAGATTTTCTTCATTTTGAGTGGAAATCTGCTTCATATAATCTGTTCTTGTCTCCATCCAGACTCCCCAGACATTTTTTCCTGCAGGGTTTTATGTGGAACTTTTAATATCCTGTGGCTCTGGTTATAGATGTGACTTTGCTTGATGAAAAAACTAGGAAGTGGTTTATTATAATTAAAAGACACATGAATAACCTGTATCATATCCCCTTATTAGGAGAATGGCCATCAGTTTCCTAGAATAATAAAATTGCATAAATGGGCAGGCACATATATTTTATAAATATACATAAATTTTTGACAAAAGTGGGCTTTTTTCATTAAAAAAGGAAATTATTTTTTAAAGAGGAACTGTTATGAATGAAATGTTGCACAGCTGGGCAGGCAGAAATATTTTGCACATATGTGGTAATTTTTTTCCAAAAAGAAGTGGCAATTTTTCAATGTGAAAAGAAGTGTTTGTCAGGGTTTCTGAAATACATTCAATTACATTAGTACATTTTCCCTTGATTTTACTGCTTGATGAACTACCCATGCGCTTTATCTTCTTTGCAAATCTCTAAAACCAGCATTGTTATATAGGGGTTACAAAAATAAATTGATTCATTACTAAAGAAAAACCGAGAGGAATTGCGCAGGAGATTCTGTTAGCTCAATATAAGGCTGGCCACTAGGGTTATTTCTTTTTGAGTTTTAAATACACATATTTTTCTTCATTTTTTACTGCATCCATGTAATCCTTAATTTCCATTCAATAACTCAGAAGACCTTTCAAAATATGTATAGTTGTTGACTTTTTGGGACAGATGAATACTAGTGTTTTGTATGGTGTGTTTACTTACTTTATTTATTTACCTTTTTAGATAAAAAAACATACCTGTGAATTTCTTCTGATCTGCTAATGGTGCTAATGTTCTTTGATAATAAGTCATTGAGGATAAGCAAAATAGATCAATTACATCTTCCAAAAACAGTGTTTTATATCTGGTTTTGGAGAATAGGTGATACAAAATTAAGGTAAAAATCATGTCATATTTTGAATTTTTAAAAGCAAATTCAAAGAATAATCTCAAAAAAGGAACAATTGGAAGGTGTGAAGAGACGAGGTTTGTGAGAAACAATAATGAATAAGCAGGCAAGGCTGTCTAGACATAAAGAATAATCATTTTGTTTTATTATCCAGACACTTCACACTTTTTGTAACAATTAAAAGCATTTTGGTTCATTGATTTTTTTAAACCTGTAAATTTCAGTAGTCCTGCATTTCGTTGTGCTATTATTCCATTCTGCTGGCTGTGTGACAACCAATGAGAAATCTCAAATTTTCCCATTAAAGCAAAAAATTCCAAGAATCATTCTTTCCTAATATCTCTGTTATAGTACTAACTACTCAAAAGTGGTGATATGAATAGAATAGGTCCCTATATTTTTATCACCATTCAACAAGTGCCCATCTTTCCTAAACATAAAGAACACCAGGGGGGGAAAATCCTGGTATGTCCACCAAACTTCCATATAATACCCAAAATGTGATCACACTGCCACGGACATGAATTTTTCCTGTTTAGAATTGAAAGAAATTGTTTTCTTGTCTGTTTTTCACCTTATGTGGCACCCGGACCCCCTGGTCTTAAGGCCACCAGACCATTTCTTCCTATTTTATTACAACCCAATATCATGCAGGCTGCCATAATTTGGCCATGCACTGTTTCAAGGAGGGAGGTGAATACCATTACAGGCATAGGAGGCAAATAACTGGATAGATAGATAGATAGATAGATAGAGTCAACAAACTGGATTCTGATAACACTTTCATATTCTTCCTTCGATGCCATTGAACCTGTGGCAGTCCCATTATGTTCAGTCTTTTTAAACACTGTCTTAACACATCTCAAGATTTTTATAAATTATTTTGATTTCAGTAGTCCTTTCTAAAAATTTGTTACCAAGTTTTTACGTTATTATGTAGAAGCCTCTGTTCAAATATAATTTTGACTAATGAAGTTGTATTTTTTAGGG